GCAGCATTAGCAGTCGCTTTTGTCTCAGGATGATGATGTCACAACAAAAGTAGTTACATCATCATCATGAGACAAAAGCGACTGCTAATGCTGCTACCGCTGCTAATGCTGCTACCATTTAACTATTTCAGAATGGAACGCAGCCTTTAGTACAAAGTACAGTTTGTCGCAGGATGATGACATCACAACAAAAGTAGTTACATCATCATCCAGAGACAAAAGCAACTGCTAATGCTGCTTACCGCTACCACTGCTACCGTTGCCCGCTTCTGCTAATGCCGCTACCGCTGCTAATGCTGCTACCATTTAACCATTTCAGAATGGATCGCAGCCTTTAGTACAAAGTACAGTTTGTCTCAGGATGATTATGTCACAACAAAAGTAGTTACATCATCATCATGAGACAAAAGCAACTGCTAATGCTGCTACCACTGCTAATGCTGCTACCATTTCAGAATGGAACGCAGCCTTTAGTACAAAGTACAGTTTGTCTCAGGATGACGTCACAACAAAAGTAGTTACATCATCATCCTGAGACAAAAGCAACTGCTAATGCTGCTACCGCTACCACTATCGTTGCTCGTTTCTGCTAATGCCGCTACCGCTGCTAATGCTGCTACCAATGCCGCTACCGCTGCTCGCTTCTGCTAACGCTGCTACTGCTAATGCTAATAACGCTGCTAATGCTTACCTACAAGATATCAAACTTGCAGTTTTGGCTGATGTCAGAGCTACATTTCCAACTGCTGGACCACAGGGACCACCCACATTGATTTAATTTAACACATATTGAGTTTAAATTTTAAATACCATCTTCAGCATACTTAGCAAGCATTAGCAGTTGCTTTTTGTCGCAGGATGATGACATCACAACATAAAACCATGCACCAACAGCAAAGGCTGCATTCCATTCTGAAATTCAAAACGAGAGCTTTATTATTTAACTGCAACATTTAAGATTTGACTTTTAAATTTAGATTTACATTTTAACATTTAGATATAACATTTAATGAAAATTATTAAAATAAGAACAGTGAGCTAAATAACACTAAAATGTTCGTGGATTTGTTTTAAACTAGGATTTTACGCTCAGAAAGTGAGCTAAATAATTAAATGTGTTAGTATTTTACACTTGGTGCTCCATACTAGCAGAGGAAAAAGTTATTTTCTCAAACAGAGCTGTGTCAGTTTAACTCAYCGCAACATGAAAGCCGAGACGAGCNGTCCAACAGACAACAGCTGGACTCCTGAATCCTGCAGGTTGTTGTTACTCAGGTCCAGTTCTTTGAGACCAGAGGACTGAGAGCTGAGAACTGAGGACAGAACTTCAACATGTTCCTCTGAGAGGTCACATACGGTCAGTCTGAGGAGATAAAACAGAATTAAAATATTAAATTTGGGATTCAAATTGAAAACACTTCATGTTTTACATCAGTGAAAAAATGATTAAAACATGATCATTGTTAACATGTTTCTGTTGTTTCTCATATTAGAGAACAAAATAGTGAAATTATTCTGGATGATGTCAATCTGTAGAAATCATCAGAGCTGATGGTTGAAATATTAAACCAAATATTCATGTTTTTTTTCTTCTGAATGAACAACTGCAACATTCATCAACAACACATTTAATAATGATTTGGAAAAAAATACAGCAGAGATTAAAAACATTAGTAAATGGTCTTATTAATCAGTCAGATTCTGAGTTATTAGAAACAATAATACCTTTATTGTTATTTCTCATTGTTCTTTTCCTATCTGCTCTGCGATAAATGTTCACTAAGAACTTCAGTCTGTTTCCATCCTGTTAGCAGAATTATATTCATGTTGTGTTGCTGAATATCTGACCCACATATCTGTGAGGACACTTTGTTCTTCTTAACATCATCTGTTCTGATTAAAACTCATTCATTTGTGTTGAGAAATGAAAATCTCCTGACCTGAGAGTCTCCAGGTGACAGTGTGGACTCCTCAGTCCAACAGACAACAGCTGGATCCCTGAGTCTGTCAGGTTGTTGTTACTCAGGTCCAGATGTCTCAGACTGAAGGACTGAGAGCTGAGAACTGAGGACAGAACTTCAACATGTTCCTCTGAGAGGTCACATACAGTCAGTCTGAGGAGAATATATCAGTCAGAAAACAATATTTAGGTTAAAATTTAGTTACATTAAATGTTTACTGTCAACAAAAGAAACATCATTGATCCAAATTTATTCATTAAATCTCAAATGTTCATGAAACAAGACAGAGTTTTTCATGTTATTGTATCCATCCATCCATCCATCCATCCATCCATTCATCCAGGAATTTTGTGAATTATAAACTGAAGTTTAGAGCCAGTCTTATATTTTACACTTTGTGATCAACTGCAGCCATTTGCTTAAAAAGACATATTTGTCAAGTCTCTATCAATGTACGGCATTTCACTCTGTAATATCAACAAAGTTTGTTTAGAATTCCAATGTCTGACGTAAAAGGTACTGTAGTGAACAGAAGATGTTCTTCTGGGGTCCTTAGTTGCTGCTGTGATGATGAGGAAAGATGACTCTGACAGGCTTGAAGTTTGTTAAACAGTAAAGTCTTTATTCAAATTACAGCTGGGATCAAATCATGAGGTCTTGGCCAAACACAGTGAGAAAAAAACCCCCAAACATTTGGGGCTGGCAGTTTTTATGAAAGACCAGTCACACCTGATGTACAGACATTACATACACATCCTATCAGGGTTGGCTTTAAAATGTTTAAATTAATTACTCCATTTAATTTCCTTATAGAGTGCTGATGCTGAAGCTCTACCATGTAGCTGAAATGTTCACAGACACATTTTCCCAACTTAAGCTTTGGGCCTCATCACAGAATTTATAAAAGTATACAGACACCACAGTACTGCCCACAGGGTGTGACATTATTGTTGAAGACTTTGGAGGAGAAGGGACTTTTTTAGTGCAGCCTACAACAGACACAGGCCAGTGAAAGGGTTGTTTTTGTTTCACTGATAACAACCCAAAGCCTCACACAGACAGGTGCTGGGAGATACTGGCTCTGAGCTGAAATGGAGTCACAGCTGAAGAATAAATAATCAGCTTGGTTTTCTGCTAAATGTCTGTGGCGTCCATGTTTTTTTTTCAAACATCACAACTGTTTTCAGATGAAAATTGTTGTATTAATGAAAAACACCTAATGGAAACAAAACAGAATCATGTGTCATTACAGATTTTAAAAATGTTTTTCACATATTTATTATGTTCTGATTTAAAATCAAATTGTTTTGTCATGAATCAGACCCACAGAGGACCCCTAAATTCAGCCAGACACTAAGCGAGTTATAACAAAGTTTATTTTAAATGTGCAGCTAGTGGGAGTAAAAAATGTCACAGGTCTCTGAGAAAAAGAAAAAACAGGTTAGTGGCTATCCAAGGGGCAAGAAGATGGTATATTCAAAAAATGAAGCCACAAACTTTCTCAGAAAAAGGCAGGGTCCACTCCTTGTCCAAGAAGAGCACAGCAAGAGTGATGTCACAGATAGCAAAGTAGAGTTAGGGCAGCACAATACAGCTCACACAAGTCTTTTGAGATTAATGCAAAATCCAAAGAGGTTTGGTTGGGGACATGCAGGAGTCAAGAAACAGGAGGCAGAGAACAACAACTTATCCAGGGGATGGGCAGTACTCAGAGGTCAGGACACAGAATGTGGGTCAGTGTTCATGAGGCAAAAACTTGGCAGAGAATCCAACTGAGGCAAGGCAAAAACAGGGAAATCCAGGACACAAACTAGGTCAAAAAATGAGATCAATCTCCATCAGAAAGTAGGAGAGTTCAGAATTCAAGATGGCTGCTACTAACTAGAAATTCATCAGTGAGTAAAAT